GATTGTTGCAGCAGCGACGACATTAGCTTGCAAATTGAATGTATGTGTGTATGTGGTTGTGTCAATGGTGAACTCGTGTATGTGTATGTATGTGTGTGTGTGTGTGTGAGTTCGGGTGTTTGTGAGTATGTGTATACTTGATGTTTGTTCATTTGGGTATATAGGTGTGTGTATGTGTTTATATGTGTATGTGTTTTTATGTGCATATGTGTGTGTGTTTTGTATGTGTATGTGTTTTTGCATATGTGTATGTTTGTATGTATGTGTGTTTGTATGTATGTGTGTTTGTATGTATGTATGTATGTATGTATGTATGTATGTGTGTAGTATAAGCTTAAGGAATGAGCGTGTTGGCCCATAGATTTCTGTTTAACTTTCAGGAAAACCGTAGAAGATGGTTAATGGCAGTGAGCGTGAACCCGGTGAATGTTCGCCTTCGCCACCGGAGCATCGGGCCACGGCTACAAGCAGTACGAGGTATCGATCGAGGTTGGTCTTATTGTTGCCATAAAATTGAGTATTCTGATTAGCGCCTGTGATTCGCATCCAGCTTCTCACCTAGCATTTCCAGTTGTCTTGTTCAGTGCTGCATCGTATGGCCGGTCAGCTGGCCGTCTTGACGTTCGTTTTGTCCCCTGTAGGGATTACCTGCTCCGATTGTCTTCCAACACAAATACCTGGCAAAGTTCCAAAAGGCGTCCTTGGTGTGTGTGTGTGTGTGTGTTGAGCATCACTATGATTCCCGCTCTGACCAGCACACATAGTTCGGTCCGTGTTTACAGCTAAGGGATAAAACACAGACAGGCTGCTGCATCGTAAAATGTCTTCTTACATATGGCACTTAAGTCCAGTCCTTCTATTCTACTATTTCCTCCTAGAAGTTATCACCTCTGAACCGCGATGAGGTATCCTGGCGACCAGGAACTCATCTTCGTTGAGTTGTGAAGTTTGACAAAAAAACAGTTGTTTCGCGGTGATCTGTTGGTACGTAGCGTTTATCCGTTGAGATTAGGAAATTTTGGTTCGATTTTACTACGGGGAAGTCCACCGTTTTGTTGTTTTTGTGTCTAAAGAGTACTACCATTCGCTACGGAGTCAGGGTGTCATCAGCTTGCTTTTAAGCAATTCTTGGAAGCAGGGGACATAGAGAAATTTGCTGGCATTCTGGACATTTTCGAGACCTTTGTTCTCTCTGAGAAAGATGGAATATTGAAGGAATTTTAAATCATAATTTCCTTACTGGCAGACATGGCACAGTGCCAAGAAGAGCTGTTATCTTACAGAAAGTTAAAGCTTTGTTTCGGCCAGTGGTGCAGCCACCACCAGTCCACAGTTCATTCGTTCGTTCCGGCACATGTGTATTGAATATGTGACTTTTTATTCCTATGTCCGTTGTCCTAATGTTCCACAGTAAATTGAACTGATGTTCGCCAAGGAGTTAGGACGTTTGTTTGCTTCCAAATAAGTGCTGTAGAAATTCTAAAGATGCAAACAGTGAATATCCTGGGGCTGAGAGATTGAAAGAGGACGGGGGCCCGAAATAACTTTCGAGATGGATTCCTAGCCTTTCCGGCGGATGGTTGCTGCTGTTGGCATTTGCTACCTATCACTTGAGCTACTGCCGATTTCCTTTATTTTTTACAGAGAGTAAATACCGAGGAAGCTGTCGCATTGATTGCAGTCAGCAGCAACACATTGAGCAGTAGTTCTGAGTTTGTCAACACACATACATGCACGTAACGCTCCATTTAGGCTTTCAATTGGATCCTTCCAATCTCATCGGCCGCTTTCTCAGTGCTTGCGTAACATCACGTGGGCACCGTTTGCACATTGTCGCCTTGCCATTCATTTCTCATTGCTAAATTATATGTAAATATATTGCGACAGTTGCGCCTGAACTCGGTAAGTTTCATCGCACTGTAAGGTGGCAGCCCCAAAGAGTGCCCCTGATTGACCCCTGCTATGGCGTTCTAGGCGAGAAAATCGTCCGGCAATGTGGAAGAGTGACTCGGTTGTGGAGTTGGTCGATTTGGATTTTGCAGTGGATGAGGATGACGACATTGAGGTGGTAAGTGAAATTGTTTTCTCAGAATTCTTCCTCCTTCCCTCCTCACGTCGGTATTTTAAGAAAATCCTCCGAAGATTTTACCTTCAGTGGGATTGTAGGGGGAAACCACGAGATACCTCTTAGCAGTGAAATGGCTAGTAACTTTTCTGTTACTGCTGTGACCAAAATTTCAAATTATTCAATCAGTTTGCTCCCGGTATCCCTGGTTTTCGTCCCGCTGGCTCTCCCCGGATGAAAGAGCTTGTTTTATCACATTTTTTCAATACAAATGTTCTTCATTTCACGCCCTAGCTGTCTGCGTAAAATAACTTACACGTCCATCAGAGAAGATGATTTAGTG